AATTAGGAGGGATTTGAAACGGCCAATTGGAGACATATGTGTAAAATCTAATTGCCAATCTTCACCAGGAAATTATCCATGTGGCTGGATAGGTTGCAGGAGAGGTAGAGGACCAAGAGTGCCCTCAGGGTTAGCTTTAGTACATATGGTGCAGGTCTGGCAGACATGTTTTAAGGTTTTAGAAAGCAGATGGCCATCAAAAAGGGGTTGAATAAAGTTAGAGAGGGCCTCATGGCCAAAGTGGGTGGTATCATGGAGAAAGGAAGGAGTTTCCATTGGAGGGGCTAAGGGATAAATAGGCAGCCCATGGAGTCAGCCAGCCAGCCAGTGTCAGAGAGGTGAAACCCCTTAGAGCCACATTGAGTTCTTCTTTAGTAAAGGAAGTGGGACACTCAGCTTGGGCAATGGGAGGGAGTGGGGAGATGGGTTGGCAAGGAGAATGGAGAGGGCCCCTCAAGCTGTGCTACAAGCAGCTGAGTCAGCAAATCGGTTCATACAAGACACCTCAGAGTCATCATTTTGATGACCCTTACAATGCATGATGGAGACCTGAGAAGAGAGCTGGATGGCTGCAAGAAGGTCCATGATCTGGGGTATGTGTTTGACAGGGGACCCAATGGATGTGAGAAAGCCTTGTTCTTTCCAAATGGGCCCGTGAGTATGGAGAATGTGGAAAGTATATTTTGAATCAGTGTAGATACTGAGGTGCTTCCCTTTTCCCAGTGTGAGGGCCTGTGTCAAAGCAATGAACTCGGCCTTCTGGGCAGAGATGAAACAGTCAAGGGAGCCTGATTTGATGGTCTCCAGAAGAGAAACAATTGTGTAGCCTGTGTTATTAACCACAAAATTAGAGCCATCAGTAAACCAGAGGGCATCTGGATTGGGAAGAGGGTTGTCTCCTAGGTCAGGTAAACAGGAATGTTCAATAATCTCCTCGCAGGAATGAACTAGAGGGGCCTCTAAGAGGGGTGACAGCAAGGTAGTGGGATTCAGGACAGAACAAGTTTTCAGAGTGAGGTCAGGGAAATCAAGAAGAAGGGCCTGGTACCTGGTCAAGTGCTCATTGGAGAGCCACTGGGACCTTTTTGCCTCCAGAATGCCTTAGACATGATGTGGGGTGTAAACAGGAAGTGACTGTCCTACAGCTATTTTGGTAGCCTTGTTTATTAGAAGGACAGTGGCTATGACTGCTCTGAGGCAGGAGGGCCAACCAGAGGCAACAGGGTCAAGAGCCTTGGAGAAATAGGCAAATGGGCAAGGATCAGGACCAAGGTATTGGACAGGGATCCCTAGCTTCTCGTCTATCTAGAGATGGAAGGGCTTTCCAAGATCAGGAAAGGCCAGAGCAGGAGCCAAAAAAAGGTGACATTTGAGATCTTGAAATGCTGATTTCTGTAGGGGCCCCCATTCAAGGGGAGAGATGTCTGGTGCATGGGTGGATTCATAGAGGGGACCTGTGGTGGAACTGAAAGATCTAAAGCCCACAGTACCCTGCTGTATAAGAAAAGTTCTTTGCGTTTGGTTGGGGGATGGAAAGAATGGCCTGGGTCCTAGAGGGAGCCAGAGACCTTAGGCTGGGGGAGAGCACATGACCCATGTCACAGACTGGGATGGGCATTGGATTTTGCAGGGTGAGACCTCAACCTGTGAGATGGTTTAGAGTTTCAGTGACAGCAAGGAAACATTCCCTTTCAAGGGAGAGATCATATCAAGAGATCATCAATATATTGCATAAGGGTCTCTTGGATGTGGGGTAAGGTTCAATGGGCAGAGGTCTTGGGAAAGTGCTTGGCCAAAAAGGTGGGGGCTATCTTGAAAACCCTGAGGAAGGACAGTCCAGGTGTACTGGACAGGTAGATAGGAGTCAAGTGGAGTCCACTCAAAGGCAAAAATAAAGTGACAGGCTTGATCCAAAGGGATATGGAAGAGAGCATCCTTGAGGTCAATGACAGTAAACCAAGAGGTAGAGCTGAGGGTTTGTGCAAGGAGAGTATAAGACTTAGGGACCACTGGGTGTATGGGTATGACTACCTTATTCACTTCACAGAGGTCTTCACTTCAAGAGGTGTTGGGTTTGGAGTATTGCAAGGGGACTGACAGGGGACAAGAAAACCATGTTGGAGAAAGCAGTCAATGATGGGCTGTAGGACCAATCGAGCCTGGAGCTTGAGGGAGTACTTCTTCTGTTGGGGGAATTGTGTGGGGTCTTTTAAGTGTGTCATTACAGGGGTGTCATTGAGGGCTCTACCTGGTACTCCATTTTCCTAAACTCTGAGATCCACTAGGTTTTGGAAGGGGAGGGCGGGGGCCAGGGTAGAGGTGAAAAGAACCAGCTAGGGAAGAAAAGTGAAAGTGGAGCCTAATTTGTTCATCAGGTCCTGGCCAAGTAAAGGGTATGAGCATTCAAGGAAGACCAAAAGTTGATGGGAAAAATAGATGGGAAAAGGTCTTCCTAAGTGCAGACCAAAGGGCCCATTCATCTCCCAATTCAGGGTTTGCCATCCAAGCCCACAAGGGGTTATGGAGAGGGATAGGTCTTGCTGGAGAAAGAGGTGAGGATAGAGTAAGTTGCTCCCATATTGATTAAAAAGACAATGGACTTACCCTCAACATCCAATATTCCCCATGGGTCAGCCAGAGAGATGTTCAAGGAGGGAGTCAGGTCTTCCTGAGGGCCCCGTCAGTTTGAGTCTTGAAGGTCTTGGGTGGTGGGGAGTTGGGTGGCTGGCCTCAAACCTCCCACACGTTCACCCTGGGGACAATCTTGCTTCCAATGCCCCTCTGGATTACAGAGGGGACAAGGTCCAGGGGGCTGTTGAGGGCACGAGGACAGTCTCAGGACTAGTATCTGGCCTTTTTGCAGTTAAAACAAGTACTGGAGGACTGGGAGGCCAGGCTCTGGCTGTTAGCTGTTACTAAGGCAGTAGCAAGGGCCTGGGCTTTCTGTTTAATCCTATCTTTCTCCTTTGCCAATGCTCTATCCCTGTTAAAAACCTCGAGGACAACATCAAGCAAGTCTCAAATGGGAGTTTGGGGCCCCTTCTCCAGTTTTTGAAGCATCTGTTGGATGTTCAAAGCTGAGTTAGAAATAAAATGCATGGCCAGGATTGCGGTTCCCGCTGGGGAATTGGGATCAAGGTCAGTGTACTTAACCAAGGTGTCTTGAAGTCTGTCCCTAAAGACGGCAGGGTTCTCTTCAGGCTCTTGGAGGATGCTGGCTAACTTATCATAATTTACTTGCTTATGAGTTCCCCAGGTGATTCCCTCAACTAGGCCAGTGAGCATGTGATCCTGAAGGAACTGGTCCTCAGGATCAGCATAATCCCACCTGAGGTCTCCAGTGGGGACTGCTTGGGTTCCAGGGGGAAACTGCCGGTCAGGGAACCTAACTGCACATTTCGTCCCCATAGGCTTGGACATATTCAATAATCTGGCGCTTTACATCAGGAGAATAACACTGAGCTAAGATGAGGTCCATGACCCCCCATTGAACTAAAAGGGAACCTTTAAGAACTCATCTTTAAACTTTGTTGGGTTTTCTGAATAGGAACCAAGCTTAGCCTTAAATTTCATGATGTCGTCAATAGAAAAAGGGACATGCACTCATGTCCGCCCACCTGAAGGGTCTGGGACCTCATGGACTAGAAAGGCTGTTGTAAGGATAGGTTTTGAGGTTGGTTGGTAAGGGTCTCCAGACCTTGTTTCAGATGGGAGGGGGCCCAAGGGAAGGGGTAGTGGATGAGGAACAGTTGAATAGAACAATAGAGAACCAATATTAAGGTTGTTTGGGTAAGGGGGTGATGGGGAGGGCTGGGAGGTTACAGGTGGGGTCTGTAGGAGGGCCCAAAGGCCATCATAGGGGCCAGGAACAGGAGGTGAGGGAGGAACAAGACTGGGGTCATCCAAAATGTCTGGGGAGGATGAAGGGGGCTTCTTTTCTTCAGGGGCATACTTCACAGTGGCCAGGAGCATTTTGCAACCTTTGCATAAATCATAATTTTGGGAAAGAGCCATAAAAGCCTGTGCATAGGGGACCTCAGTCCACTTTCCTTCCTGGTGGCAAAACAAATCTAATTGTAAAATGGTGTAATTATAATGGCATTATAATATTTGGACCATTTTTCATGATCTTTGAGACTATATTGAGACCAGGTGGTATTGCAATAAAAGATCATATGTTTCCTCCTCAAATCCTGTTAATTTATCCAAATTCTTAAGAAGGCATCCCAGGGGGGATTTGGAAGGGATGGACATCCCCCGCTCCATCACTGACTCAAGTACTGAGGATTTAGTATTGCAAAGGGTCAGTATGAATAGGACTGCGTTCCCACCAAGGTGTCCCTCAGTATATACAAAGGCAGGCTACAGGAGGCTGCATTATGTGTGGCTAATCCCCAGAACTGACACTAACCGATTGTTTTTAAGAAAGACCCCAGAGTCCCTGGGAGGGTGAAGGAGGAGTGACTTGTGGAAATTTACTATGATATAATCTTTGTGCTATGGAAGCTAAAAAAGATTTGTACCTGCGCTGAACTGGGTCTTCTGGGTGGCTATTGTGAAACAGCTGTACTTTCACTCTAGAAAGTCCCTTCATTATCATATTTATAAGATGTTAATGGGGGCTTTGACCTCACATAAGTTACTATGGGGCCGTGAGGAGTTTCATTGCACTTGCATGGCCTTGGGAAAGTCCCTTGACCACAAGATCACTGGTGATAAGGTGGGCCAGGAATGGTGAGGTTGCCTGCTCAGCATATGGGGGAAAGGGCTAAGCATGTAGGGGAAAAGGTTACCTACTCAGCATATAGGAAAAGGATAGGGCCTCATAGATCTGGGGGAAAGATAGGACTTTGCTGCAGTTCCTCCAATGGGACCCCTGTTCTCCTCCCCTTCTTAGAGGGTTCATACTACCTCATCCTATTATCCCCTCTAAATGTTCAAATTAATGTATCTCTAATATATGAAGCTTGGGGTGAGTGCAGCAGAGCTGACCTGAAGTGTCAGGCCTGGGCAGGGAGAGACACCTGTGCCTGCAGCAGCCACTTCTGGGTCACAGTCTTGCTCTCCATGCTGAGGTCAGTGGTAGAAGTTGGTTCTGTTTCCCTACCGGCAAGTCTAGCGGTGGAACCCTCTCTGACCTATTTACGCCAAAAGATTTTAGGTGCATGTACATATTGCCATCATGAAAAAGCATTAGTTCCAAATTAATTTTCTTTATGGAGAGCTTCTTTTCTTTATGACAATGAGCAAAATTTAAAATTATAAACTAGCAAAATCCAGCAGGGGGAGTTTATTATTACTTTATTTTTTACTGGAATAAACATTTTATCTCCTGCCTGGGCACCTTGATCTGTACCTTTATGTAGATAGGTGGCTGACTTTTACCATTTGATGACACAATGAAACAATTTATTTTTTCTTTTTGGTAGGGGGAAGGTGAATTATGAGATATACACTAATAAGTATAATATAAATTAAAAAGTGTAACAGGAGCTATGCATCTCCTCCTCACTGGTCCATCGCAGTGCTAGCTGCCATGCAGGGCATCCTCCATCCTCCTTTGATTAAGTGTTTTAGCAAGCCCTTCTAGGTCATCATCAGATAGCAGAGTGGATTTAAGTTCAGGATGGGTGTGTGTGGTGGGAGGAAAGAGAGACCTATGCTTATGTACAGTTTCCTATATTGAGGAACTAGAATAGCTGCTTTGGGAGCAGGAATGCAGGGTGGTTGCTTGTTTTTGCCCATAGCTTCTGAGCACAGATCATAAACCCAAATTTTGGGGAACAGGCTTTCCCAGCTCAAGAGATAGCAGCAATCAGGTAAATAAGAGATTTCTTCCAGAAGCACATGGCAAGAGTTGTGTATGCTTACTTAGCTGAAGTTTTAGAATTTGGGGATCAGACCATTTATTTTTCAGGAATGCTACAAATGCTTTTCTTTTATTGAATATCTATCTCTTTTTCATTGATAATTGGGCTTAGGTTTACAGGGTATGTCATTTGGATTTGCATTTTGAGCTCCTTTACTTTTAGGAATATACTATTACCTACCCTTCTTCAGTTTCTATGGGTGCAGAATAGTCATGTAATATTTAAATTTCTTTTCTTTTATATTTGAAGGTCTTTTCCCTGGCCACCTGAAAAATCTGTTTTTTTAGTTAATTGAGTTATTAAAGTTAACTACTATGTGTCTCAGAATTTGAAGAATAGGATAATTTTTTAGAGGTAATGTGTTGACTCTTTTGATTAATCCTTTTGTTTTCTGTGTTCAGAAGTTCTGAGTAGTTTTCCTGTATTATTTTCTAAATTATGGTATTCTGTTTTTCTTGTTTGCCACTTTTTTTTTTGAGATATATGATCCTTAAATACTCTTTGTGTATTTTGTCTTTCAGATCAATGACTTGTGCTCATAATAGAGATTATGAGTTCTTTTTTTTTTTTTTGGTTAGGCAATGGGATTTAGTGACTTGCCCAGGGTCACACAGCTAGTAAGTGTTATGTGTCTGAGGCCAGATTTGAACTCAGGTCCTCCTGAATCCAGGGCCAGTGCTCTATCAACTGTGCCACCTAACTGCCCTGAGATTATGAGTTCTGTTAGCATTATTTCCTTTTGTACCTCTTCTTCTAGATGGTCCTTTACTTCAGTGTACACTAAAATCCAATTCACTTGCAAGTCATGGCATCACTTTCCTGATGTCACAGTCTTCTTCAAGAACAAAGGACAAACAACAACTTGTATCCCAAATCTGTTTTTCTCTTTCACTCTCATTGTTGTTTAAGTTGTCCTATTCTGTTAAGCATTTTTTTTTCTGTGCAGGCTATATATTCTGACATATGTTCCCTTCTAACTTCTCTTAACCTTTTAATTTCTTTTTTGAACTATTCTGGAATATTTTGTTTTGTTCTGTGCTCTTTTAGTATTCTGCAGTATTCTGTGTTTCATCAAACATTGGCTCCATTTTCTTTTCTAGTATTATTTAAAGAACATTGTAATCTTTTTGATGTTTTAGTATTCATGCTTCCTTCTAATTTTAATATCCTCTCTGTTGATTTGTCTGCTTGTATTATAGGTTTTTTACTGAATTTTCTTTCTTGAGCTTTTGAGTGGTTTTAATTTTTTTCTTATATTATTTTCTCACTCAGTTTCTGATTCTTCCCCTCTTCACCAACCTCTGACTATGCTCCCAGTTTCTGGGAAGTCAACACTGATCTCAGTTGGATTCTAGTTCCTTTTTCCTTCAGGCCTAGCATAGCCATTTATTCTGGCCCTTTGCCCCAGTTCTTTCCATTTTTTATTTCTCTGAGTCTCCTTAATGATCATCTTCATTTTTTGTAGGGTTGGGGGAGGGTGAGGTGGTTTTTGCCCCCTTGGCTTTCCTAATCTATGAGCTGCCCCAGGTAGAAGGAAACTCATCTCTGTCTTTTCCTATTTCCTCCCCTCCACTTCACACAGCTAGGCAGAGTCAAAGTCTACTGCTTGTTGCAGTAGGATAGCAGAAGAAGCAGAGTTAGGTCGACAAGTCAATAAGCCTTTATTAAGAGCTTGCTACCTGCCAGGCACTGGGGTAAGTGCCAAGTATATAAATACAAGCAACTGCTCTCAAGGAGCTTCATTCTAATAGGGGAAGGCAACGCATAAGGCTATATAGGGGGCTGGAAGGAATGTACCTATTTTGGGGCAGGTTGGATAAAGAGTTCCAGAGAGTCAGTAGTGGAGCCCAAAGAGGAATGAAGGAGTGCATATGACTGGTCCAGGGAGGAGTGATCTTTCAGGGTAAGAAGGCTATAGGGTTATGATAGAAAAAGAAGTCTGGAAATTTAAGAGTGGCATCCAGAGAAGAATGAGGGAATGAACATGAGCGTGCCTGCAGACACTCTGTAGCAGAAGGGAAATGCAAAGCATAAGCCTTAAGTCAGTTTTTGCTGATACGGATTACTCACCCTGCAGTAGACTGAAAACTGGTGGTAGAGGGTTAATCAATGAATGTGATGTGGGTTAGCATTTTCCACTATTAATTCTGAAGGCTGTTACCTTGTTGGGCCTCTTGCTTTATTTCTTCCATGAATTCAGCCACGAATGTACTTCTGGCACATTTTTTTCCCTCCTGAGAGTGAGTAGGGATTGTAGAAAATGTCTAGTCCTCCATTTTGTTGTTCACATGACCCAGAAGTCCCTGAGATCAGACCTTTTGAAGAGAAGAGGATCTCTAGATGCAGCATGGCTCTTGGAGAAAGAAGAGTATTATCTAAATGTTTTGCACAGCATCTTGCTTGGAGAGCAGTAAATGAATTACTGAGACATTGCAGTTCCAGTGGGAAAGGGATTGTTAGCTTTAGTAGCTTTGTGTGTGTGTGTAAGACAAGTAACGGCACTGGAGTTTTTTAGACTCCAGCCTCTAACAGGTTCACTCTTGATCTGGGCAGCCAGAAGGACAAGAAGACAGCTTTGGAGGGGTTAAATAAGCTTACTTTATTCTAGCCTAGTCTTCTCAAAAGGGTTGCTGATAATGGGAGCACCAACTCTTACAGCCTTTCCACAATCACTCTTCTCATGTAGGCGGGCAGCTGGAATGTAGGAGCTACAAATCCTTATAGGTCCTCTAAGCCTCAATGGGGGCCAGTTGAGGCAAGCACACAGATTTCCCCCAACCCTGGATGGGGGCCAATCAAAGCTGGTACATGCATTCCTCTATGCATTACCCAAATCCCAAAACAGGTTCCCCATTCACTGACCAGTGCCCACTTGGTTTATAGGGCAACAAAGAAGGCAATTTGCAAACAATAGCCTCACAAGTTAACTTTAGCAATATCATCATTCAGTGCAAGTGTAGTAAATATTACTTATGTCATCCTTATATCTCATTTGAGAAGACTACTCATGAGCCTAGGAAATATTACCTAACACCTGGAAACTAGAGATTGTTATGGCCATAGACCCTGGGAACTAAACCCTAAGAAAGAATAACAAAATCCACCTTACACACACTAAAATCCAACTTACTTACAGTATGTATGTGTATATGCATGTGTGCATATATATGTGTGTGTATATATACATATATATGTGTATATATACATATGTTTTTTTTTCTAGGAGGATGCTAAATTGCAAGATGATATTTTAAGTTTTGGTGGGGGAAGGGTTACAATGTAGAACTCTGGGAGGAAAAAGGCTCACTGGAATGTCAAAGGGTTGCCCCAATAGTTACCCCCTGTTCAGTTCCCCTCTGGAGGGAGCTTATGGCTTATTTGAAGGCTTTTTGTGTGTGTTGGTAGGGATTTATTTGCATTTGTTTATGAACTCCTATGAGCGCTTTGTGTCTTCTGCATTTTCTGTGGGGTGAAATAAAGGTTCAAGGCATTGCTGCCTTAAGTACATATACAGAAGCTGGGGACTACTTTTATTTACATTTTCATAAACTTAGAAACCATCTATATGTTGAGCATGCCAGGAGAATCTCCTTCCACTTCAGATGGAAGCAACAAGTCAAAGAGAAAAAAAATGATCCTATTGGGGTCAGCCCCAGGATCATATCTTTATGCTTTAGTAAATGCTTTAGTAAAGATAGTATAATGCTTTAGTAAATGCTTTAGTATATCTTTATACTAAATAAAAGCATTTAGTATAGAACAGATATGATCTATATGAGCCCCAAATTCCTAGTCACCTGGTATTACCTTGGGATAACATACTTTTACTATCTACCTCCCAGCATTGACCTGATAAAACCACTGTATAAAGCACTAAATAAATAAGAGATGGTGTAATTATTATTATTCTGCTATCTCCCATCCCACACACCTCCTGTGCAAACTTCTCTTTATGCCTCTGTAGCTTTCCAAATATCTGACATATGGGAACCTGATTACAACAGTCATCTGCCTACTTCAAAGACATTAGTCTTTATCTCTGATCACTGGTCACCCTCTCAATAGTATGGTCCAAATATAGAATCTCCACAGTAAACTATTCTTCTCCTAAAGGGTAAACCCTTGTCCTCTATCTATATGTTTAATCTATATCTATATATGTTATGTACCCATATTATTTAACAGTTTTGAATGGTTGGATACCAAACACAAACTTTTGAAATAAAATTCACATTTTATTGAATGTCTTAGAAATATTTAAGAAGTTAATTTATGTAAAGAAAAAATTATGGAAATAAATATATATGCATATTTAATGGTAAATAGTTATGATAACAATAATAGTAACCAGCATTTATGTAGCACTTTAAGGTTTGCAAAGAGCTTTAAACATATTTTTCTCATTTTATTCTCACAACAACCCCATGAATTAGGTGCAAATATCATCATCTCCATTTTACAGACAAGGAAAATGAGGCAGAGAGAGGTTAAATGACTTGCCCAGGGTCATGCAGCTAGTTAAGTGTATGAGGCAGAATTTGACTTCCTAACTCTAGGTCCAATGCTCTTCCTTCTATGCCACCTAGCGACTTAGAATAACAGAATTTTAAAAGACTTCCAGATTCTACATTGCTTTCCCTCTCCTGCCTTGCACTAGTGGGTAAAGGATCCCCTGACCCTACCTTTCATGCAGCCCTTCTTCAACCACAGCAGCCCCAGGAATGCCTGCTTCAGGTTTTTGTTTTGCAGAATTAGGATAAATGAGTTCACAGAGGGAAAGAGAGGGGCAACCAACAATGTAATCATTAATACCACCTTGGCATCTGGCAGGAAAGCGCCTGCTGTCCCAATGAAGACAATGACAAAATAAAAGACAAAGAGTAAGAGGAAGGAAAACATTACAATGGTGGCTCTCTCATGGGCCTTAGTGCTCACATCTCTGGAAGTAGTGACATGGTGGTGCATCATCCTGGTGTGCCTCCTTAGGGAGAGGATGAGTAAGAGACAGGAGAACAGGGATATAAGGAAAGGTATCACTGTCCACAGGAGACCAAGAAGGTGGGAGATAAAAAATTCTCTTTCCTTCTTTCTGAAACTTTCAGTATAGTTTGTCGTGATCATCATTTTTCGGAGTCCAGAATACATATTGAATTTTTGGATCAGTAACAGTGTACTGAAGAAAAAGAAGAGCACACAGCCCAGCAGAATGCAGGCAACCACCTGGGAAATCCTCTTCTTAAGCCAGAGGAAGGCAGGATGGGAGAAAATGGCAATCTTCAGGCAGTAGAAGACACTGAGGCAGGTGAACAGCCAGATGCTTAAATAGTTACTAAGGGTCCAGCCAGTTTCACGAATTTCAATTAATGTTTCTCCACAATAGAAATCGGGATAGAGCACCAGAGTAGTGGCATCAAAAACAATCACACATTGCAGGAAGATCCTGGAGAAGGCCAGATTCATAATGATGAAGTCAGGTAAGGAAATCTTGCTCCTTTTGATCCAGTGGATGCAATTGATAAGCCCAAGAAAGCCATTCCCCCATGTCCCCAGAATGAACTGACTGAAGATCACGAACAAAAAAAAGATTTGGAATGAGTTCAGCATGTCTGCAGTTGGATCTCCCCACCTTGGTAATCTCTCTGTTATCTGCAGCCTTGCTACTGTTCTACAGCTTCTCTGATCTGAGGTAAGTAAGCACACACAGGCACCTGCTTTTCCACAGTGTCAGTAGTACCTTTTGCCCTTCTCTTACTTGCTTGTGCTGCTGCCTCTGTCCAGAGTGCTCAGAAATTCTTCAGGGTCAGTCTTGCAATTGCTTCTTCCAAACTGTTCTGCTATTGTTCTCTAGTTCAGACCTCAGGCTTGGAGTTTTCTCAATTACTTGGGTAATAAATGCCATTTAGTAGATGAAAGCCCAATAGCTCCTTGCTAAGATGCAAATAGTTACAGGATTTAGTATCACACAGAGAAGGGAGGAGTCAGAGTCAGAGAAAATGGATGGTTCTTTTCCACACAGATAATAAATTTTTATGTCTCATAAAGAGAATGGAATTAGTTCTTGATACACCAAAAGTACAGTCACTTGGAAAGGTGTCTGCAACTGGTGAAGGGTGAAGGGACTAGATAGAATAGTGATATTTTCAAGAGGGACTCTTCCCAAACCATAAAAACATATGCTTGTGTGTGTGTATCTATATCTATTTAACTATATATTCCTATATACTATCCTATAACTACATACACACACACACACGCACACACACACACACACACACATACATTTGTTTGTTTGTTATTAGATTTCAACACACCTCTCCAGTGGATTGTACTTTCTGGTATACCAAGGACTGATTCCACTGTCTTTGTGTGACATAGAAACTCATCTTTTGTATGGGATTGAATCCTCCATTCTCTGACATGTGTGTGTGTGTGTGTGTGTGTACTATATGTAACTGTGTTTCAGTATAGTTGGTTTTCTTTAACAGATTATTTAGGAGAGCCTGTCCAACCATTTCTCTTTTGCAGAAGCTTCTAAAAGGATGAAGACCCTGCTGATAGTGCACACAGAGACTCTGGGCATCTCAGCACTTGAAGGGCTTTTGTACTTAGGTCACTTGGAATCTTTGTCTTTGGCCTGAGCCTTATCAAAGAAAGCCTGTGGGCCAACCCCTTAGGTAGTGCTTTAACCTGTGCAAAGAATTTTGCAAATAAAGATTATATATAATTTAATGACTGAGTATAGTTCCAACTTGCTTTTCAGCATTCTCAGATCAATTCATAGCTCCACTAACAGTATATTAGCATGATTTTCCTCCCTCACTTCAGTCAGCAACTCTCATTTTTCTGTTTTTGGCTAAATTTGACAATCTGATGTGAGTAAAGTGAAACCTCAGAGTAGTTTTAAATTGAATTTCTCTTACTATTAGTGATTTAGAACACTTTTTTCCTATGATTGTTCATATCCTGTATTTTGCTCTGACTCTATCATGCCTCTAAAGCAGAGATATTTGAGGCATGGAGAATGGAGAAGAGATTGCTGAGCCTTGGCAGTCTTGGATCTTCTTGGCCCTTCCCTCAGATGGAATGGTGATGGTTCATCAGATCATGTCTATTCATGCCATCTGTGAGCCACACCTATATATTGAGACAACTTTTACTTCCCCCACCCCCACATATTTTACACTTCATGTATCTCCCCTTGACCTGTTTTTTATGTCATTTTAATAAATAGTAAATGCCTTACATTTTCTTCCATTTTTTTCAATCTTATAATTTTGTTTTATATTTCCTTTTATTTCAAAAGGTCATTGACTTCTATGTATTCCATTCTAATTTTTAGGAAGTCTTCTGCTTGGATATGGTATCTTTCCTTATGTTTGAGGGTATTTATTCTCCCTCCAATTTTTTTCAAGAACTCTTATTTCATTTATAATTTCATTTTAAAAAGTCTCATATTTCTTTTCTTCCATGCACCCCTTTAGTCCTTGTGGCCAAGATATTTTTTCTCTGTATCCATCCTTGTAATCATTATGTGGTTTCTCTCTTTTTCTAGGTGCATCTCTTGGGTATCTATTGACCTATGATTTTTTTTTCTTCTGTTGGCTCATATCTTCAGCATCAGTTCCTGATTTGGGTTTTTAACACTAGGGCTAGATTCTGAATCATCTTGTAATTTTAGATGGGATAGTCAAGTCCTTTTTGGTCCTGACCTTCATTACATGGGCTCCTGTCACTGATTCCACCTCCTTTGGTGTTTCTGAGCTCAGAGTGCTGGCAGATTTCAAGCTCCTGGTACTGTTTGTATTTAAAATGCTGTGTTCTTCAGAGCTCTCTGAAGTGTCTCAGGTTAGGTTGTTGTAGATATCTGGCCCCTCATGTCATGTTGTTCAAAATGCTGCCTGCTTCTTGACTCACATCCACAGTAAACATTGTCATAGAAGTTATATCATGGTAGGTAACTGATGCTCCTGTTTTCTAAGCACTCTAGGTTTACTGTATCTTGGTACTGCATTACAAATACTTTCTCACAGGAACCCTGGGAGGTATGTGCTATTATTATGCCATTTTAGTTGAGAAAACTGAGGCTGAAGGAGGTTCAATGACTTGCTCAGGGACACACCACTAGGAATTATCTGAAGGCCATATTAGAACTAAGATCTTCCTTACTCTCAGCCCAGTCTTCTATCAACCCACTCCTCCAACCAGCTGCCTCTAGGAAATACACACTCTGCAATATAATTTTTAAAAATATCTTTTTTTTGTTAAATATTTCCAAATTACATGTAAATTTTTAATATTAATTAAAAAACTTTTGAGCTCCAAATTTTCTTCCTCTTCCTTCCCCTCCTTGAGATGACAAGCAATTTGTTATTGATTATACATGTATAGTCATGCAAAACGTATTTCCATATTAACCATGTTGCAAAAGAAAACACAAGCAAAAAACTCAAAGAAAAATGAAGTAAAAGAAAAGTATGCAATGATCTGCATTCAGATTCCATCAGTTCTTTCTCTGGAGATGGATAGCAATTTTCATCATTGATCCTTTGGAATTAGCCTGGATCATTGTCTTGATCAGATTAGTTGATTCTTTCACAGTTCATTATTGTATTATATTGTTGTTACTATATACAGTGTTCTTCTGGTTCTGCTCCCTTCACTTTATATGAATTCATATCAATCTTCCCGGGTTTTTCAGAAGCTATCCTGCTTGTCATTTCTTATAGCACTATAACAGTATTCCATAACAGTGATACACCACAGCATGTTCAGCCATTCCCAAATTGGTGGGCATTCCCTTGATTTCCAGTTCTTTGCCACCACAAAAAGAGCTGCTATAGATATTTTTTGTCTTTTACCTTTTCCTTTGATCTCTCTGAGATCTCAGATCTAGTATTGATGTTGCTGAGTCAAAAAGCATATACGATTCTAAAGCCTTTTGAATATAGTTCCAAATTGTTCTCCAGAATGGTTGGACTACTTCACAACTCCATTAACAGTGCAATAGTGTCCCAATTTTTCCACATTCCCTCCAGAATTTGTCATTTTCATTTTTCTCTCCTTAGCCAGTTTGATAGGTGTGAGGTAGTATCTCAAGGTTGCTTTAATTTGCATTTCTCTAATCAGTAGTGCTTGAGAGCATTTTTTTCATGTGACTATCTATAGCTTTGATTTCTTCTTCTGAAAACTGCCTTATGCTCTGCAATATCTGCAGCTCAATTCACATATACCTGCACCTGTTCAATGTGCTAGTACCTGCTGGCATTGTAACTAGGACAACCCAGCAGAAGTGACAAATTGAGAGGACCAAGGGAAGTGCATTCTGAGTGGATGTGCTGCTAAGCCCATGTCTAATGGAGATTTGTTCAGTGGCGTCTAAAGGGAAGGGCAGACAGTTATTATTTCTCCTAAAGACTGATGGCAACTGGAACCTGTCAATATTTTATAAGCTATTTTCCTCAGGCAGAGATAAGGTAGAGATGGCTTGCTTTATCTGAATTGGTCTGTTGCAGCAATTTTCATGAAAGATAGGAATGTACCATTCTTTGGTGACAGGATGTTACAAGATGCTGAAGGCTCCCTGTGTTCCCATTTTCATTACTTACTTCCTAGATCTCTCTGCCCTCCTGTAAGTACCCTGGCAACAACATTCCTTTGAAATCACTTCCTTAAGTAATTTATACGAACTTATCAGAAACTGTTCATGATTATAAAGTCAAAGTTGGAGTCCAGATGCTTACTAGGTCCTAATTAGTTCTCTACTTATGATGTGTAAATTGAGGACGGAATGAAGACTGTTTTCCCCTCCTCTACAAAAAGCAAAGACCACTAAATGGAAAGGGAAGGGGAAGGGGACGGGGAAATGGAAAGGGAAAGAGAAAGGGGAATGAGAAAGAAATAAACATCTGTGTAGTGCCTACACACATATACATTTACATACATACATATATATGTTTATATGTATTTATATGTAATTTTCCACCCTAAATCCATCACCTCTCTGTAATGGATATCATACATTCAATGATCTTTCTCTTTCCTACAATGTGTTCCTTGTCTTCTTCATGATGTAACAGTAGTGTTCTTCTTGGCCCTTTTCTTTCTCTATATGCTCTCCTCTGTCAATTTTACTCACTCACAACTCTGAGTGTTATCTCTATGTCCTCAACTCACAAATCTATAACTCTAGGCTTGGCTTTTCTTCTGAGCTTCAGATGTGCATTTCTGTTTCCTACAGGACATCGTTATTTGTCTCTTTGGCAAATCATCTTGACATGAAGAATGCCAAGGCTTCTTCTGTTGGAATTACAATGAATTACAGAATCCATGCAGAACCTCTTTTTCTACCCTTACCTTTCCCCTTAAATCTGCTTCTCCTTACAACCTTATTATTTCTGGCTGTGTCATTACCCCGGTTTCCTATGTTCATGATCTTAGCTTTATCTTTGACTCTTCTCTTAATTTCATCTTTCATGTAAAGCCATTAAGTTTCACTTCTTCATTTTTCTCACCTCTTTTGCCCTCCTTTCTCTACCTATTGCTGTCATTCTAATACAGTTCTCAATACTACCTGTTTAGATCCTTGAAATAACTTCTTAACAAGCATTTCTGCCACTACTCTCTCCACTTTTTAGTCTTTCATACCACTGACAGAAAAATTTTT